TAGGTTCCCCAGTTGTCTCCTTCAGGAAGCCTTTCCTGATTGCAGTGCCCAACATCATGCTGCTGTAAGACCTTCGGACTTTCCTCTGCCATGGCACTCAAACTGAATGTAGGAGTTTAAAGCATGTCTCTTCCACTAGACAGTAGGCTCCTTGAGGCAGGTGCTGTCCTGGCTCACTACTGTAGCCCAGGGCCTAGTGGAGAACCCTGAACAGCATAGAAACAGAGCCCAGTAACTATTAAGCTCATACTGACTACAGGATGATCCACCAAGCCTCTCTGGTCTGCCTTATCCTACCCCATGCACATAGTTTCCTTTTACTCATTTTGCACACTGCTGCTTCTACTACTCACCTAGTCCTGCTCCCAAATTCATCTCTTGCATGAAATCATCCCATATCAGCCTCACTCTACCTACTGTTGCTATGGAAACTCCCTCTCATTCTTCATCCATCACAACCCCTGGGTTAGTTAGCAATTGGGTCTGGCTTCATAGCTGGACATAAGTCTGCAGTAGACACAAAGAATCTCTGAAAGATTTAAGGCCCTCTACTCAGAAAACTGAATTGAAATGCTGGATAGTGTGCCACCTCAGCCCTGGGCACTCGGTTCAGATCCCTTTTCTACCATTTATTTGTGTCTTGGACATGTCACTAACCACAGAGACTCAGTTTCCTCAAATGCAAAATGGGGATGATGACAGCTTCACATGTTGATAATGCTAACAGTCTACATAGAGTGATTTGTGTGAAATACTGTGAAAACTGTGAAGCCAGACTAAGTACAGGTTATTTTAGTCTCTGGGCCAACTAACCACCTGTCCAACCTTACTGTCCTCCCCCACCAGCAGTTTTGTCCTTGAGTCAGTTGAGAATCAAACAACATTTATGGATCCTCTTCCAGGAAAGATGCAAAGACATAACAGCTTAGCAGACACTTGGAGGAGATTACTAAGGACCCTGCCAGAAGGCTGGAAAACCACAGACCAAACAAGAGTGCTAGAAGGCCCCAGGCCCACAACCTGTCCCTGATGCATGCCCTTGTTTATTCCCAGATGCCAAAGATGAAATACAAGGCAGAAAGGGCCAGTCTTCAAGGAAAATAATCTCAAGCTAAAAATGAACTCTAGAACCTTTATCAGAACCTGAGGAAAGGAGAGAAGTCAGAGAGTTCTCTTTGAGAAATAAAGACCCAACTTCTTTTCCATAAAATATCTCATATAGAGAAAGAAGATTAGATGACATATAAAAACCCAGGATTTCTTGCCCCACTCTGCCAAGGGCTTCCTCTGACCTTGAGCAAGTCATTTCACTTCTCTGGGCCTTGAGATCTTCACATGGACATTACACCTGTAAGGCCCCACCCAGCTCTGGGTACCTTGGATCCATGGATGAGTCTCTTCTCACTCTGCTCTGAGCACAGCTCAGTTTGGGCTTTGTACAGAAGAAAATTTAGGCCTGAAACTGAGCAGGTGAGCTCAGAGGTCCAGAGGTGGGCAGAAAGAAAGGTTATGCAGAAATGTCATCAAGTTTGGAGAATTCTCAAAAACGGCATTTTGCTGGTCTGTACCTTCTATTGTCTCTCTGGGCATAGGATTTTTTTTCCCCTAGCCTAACCACTCATCTCCTGCTTTCTCTTTCATGATCTGAAATATAAAAAATATAACCTTCAAACAAAGGCAGTAAACCCCCAAAATGAAATGAAATTGGAGGTTAATGTTAAGGCCCATATAAGTGAGTATGAGAATAGATAAAAAGCAGCCTCATACTAAAACATCTGCACAGACCTGTAATACAGGTCTCAGGCAGGGCCTGAGTGAGACCTTGACCAAAGCCACAGCTTCTCATGAGTCACAGCACATGACAGGGAAGGGACCATGCAGAACACCTCAACAGCTCCTCATTGCTCAGAGGAACCTGTTAGTTGGCTTCAGGTTAAGTTCTCATCAGCTGGCTGCCTTCTTCAGAAGGACATACCTCTGGGCCCACTGGGGAGATTTCAAAGAGCCAGAAGTCTAGGGTAACAGGGACATAAAAGCTTTTCTCCACTGCATCCTTCCATATTTGCTCTAAGAGCATTATGGACCCTTGCAGCCAATAGATGTGAAACTAAGCCCTAGAGTGAGTGCTCTAAAATATTTATGATTTATTCCCTTTTGTAGGACCTGTTAATGCATTGTACTATTCCTCTTATGCTACCTTTGTGTGCCAAAACAAGTAGAGTACTCAGCCTAAATAGGTGCCTAGTAAGCATGTGCTGGACTTTTATCTCTACAGCTGCAATATACTTTTAGAATCTAACACATGGTAGAGACCATATGTTAAATTTTCTTGAGTGTACTTCTAGATACACAAACTTGTCCTGGCCAATGCATATTTGTGAGTGAATGGTCAATTAGTTGATTTAGTTGGCCAAACCTAAAATCCCTTCAGGCTGTGTCTGAGAATCATCAAATACATGAACTCTCTAAAATTCATGAAGGCAATGTCTTTACTGTTTTCTGGGCTTCTCCATTTTGGGGAGCAGGGACAGGGACAATAGTTTGGGATGGTTTCTCAGAGATCTACATTTTGAATGAAATGGCTGTGAAACCAGCAACTGAAGAATAAACCTTGGCTTCAATAAGGAGTCCATGAACACACCTATGTGAACGTGGGCATGTATTGTGTAAACATGTATATAGCACATGCACTTATTATATGCTGGCATGCACTGGGTATATTTCAGCTGACATGCATTCACCAACAGCCAATTGTTAGAGTGATAACACTTCAGTCCTTTAATTAGAAGCTGTTAGGAAATAAAGTGTTTTGACAAAGAATAAGTACCAGCATAATTTATCTCTGTCTCAGGTTCAGTACTTCCTAAGGAATCAAGAACCCAGTCTCAAAAAAAAGGGTCACTCAAAGCTATAGGCTTCAAAGAGGAATCACAGGGGAAGGAAAGTTGCCCTTCCCTGTGAGAAGCCTTAGGCAAGTTACATCATTTCTGTGCCTCAGTGTGCTTATCTGTAAAATAGGGTTAGCAATCTCTTACCTCGAAGGATACTCTTAAGAAATGAAGTGACAAAGGGTCAGGGTGGGAGGGGAGCTGCCTTTTAAAGTCATATAAACATATTATTATTTCAGCAATCTGGTAATCACAGATGACATTTTACCCAGAACACGTTACAAAATTACTGCCTCTGCACCTTGTTACCCAGCACGGTCACTTGGGTCACTTGACACAACCAAGGAGAGGATCTGTGTGTTAAGTTGAATCCGGTTTCAAACACTCGGGGAGTTTACTCAGGCCACCCTAGAGCCTAGAGCGTCCTGGCCCTAGAGCGTCCTGGCCACCTTCTAGCGTCTGTTCAGAGCGTTCTGTTCCTCTATAATTGGGCTATCTTGAAATCCAGGCAATTTCCTCTCGGGGCTCTTGCCTTCTGGGAGCTGAGATTCCAAGGGTTTAGGGCCCAGCCTCAGTGCTGGGCCGGAGGAACCCGGCCAGGGCAGGCGGCGCCCCTCCCGCTCTCTAGGCGGCTCCTTCCTGTGCTCCAGCTCGGCCTGGAGGCGCTCTTGCTGTATCACTTTCACCCTGAGGAGGCTCCATCGCCGCGGATCCCGCAGCTCCTAGGCTTCCTCCCTGTAGCTCTGGCCACTACCTGGGGAGATAATTCCAGGGCTGCAGAGATAGACCGTCGGTAGGGTAGCGTGGGCCGGCTGGGCTGCGGGTTGTGGCTGGCTGGGCCCAGGCTGAGGCGGCGGGGCAGACTCTGGGCCCTACAGTCTGAGACTGGAGAATTGGGGGACTGGGGCAGAGTTAGAAGATTCTCTCCCCGGCTGCAAAGACCGCTCACCCGCCAGGCGCTCAGGTGAAAGGGTCAACTTGCTGGTGGTGGGGGCGTCCACACAAGCGGCTCTGCCCCGCCCCAGTCGGCCGGGTCTGGGGGCTTTGGGGACGCGGAAGGAGGGAGGAGCCGCGCCGCGGACAAGGAATTCCCGGGGGCTGCCAAAACACACGGGACTCCAGGGTCTCACCTGCCCCAGAGACTCATGATTCCTTCCCCAGGTAACCCGGGTGCATGGACATCATGACAGCTGCCCAACTCGGACCACGAGGGTCCCCACTATGCCGCGGTCTGCCCCGCCCCACCCCACGCCTGAGTGGTGTGTACACACACAAACAGCTGGGCGGGGGAGGCGACGCCTTGCTCCTCCGGGTGAGGACACGCGGCGCTGCCGTCCATCCTTCCCCTCTACATGCCGCGCCCCCTTTCTGCTCACACACACCCTCAGCCCTAATCCTAAAAACTCAAAACCAAATAGAACCAACGCCGCTCAGACAAGGGGCTTGGATTCCTGATTGTTTTTTAACGCTAATAGAGAGAATTACCCACCTCAGGCGCGAGGTCCTAGGGTCTCCTCCCCCGGTCGCATTAAGCACTGGCACGCGGTCCTCGGGGACCCCAGATCTCTGCCGCAGCCCAAGCCACGGTCCCCCGCCCGCTCTCCTCCACGACCGGCGCCTGAGACAACCGGCTGCTCGAGTCCTGAAGAAGCCGAGCCGGAGCCCACCCCGCACCCGCTCGGGTCATTCGCCAAGAGCTGGCTTTTAGTGCCTGTCAACTTAACGCCCGCTCCGCTGGGCACAGCCAGTCCCCAGGCCCGATCACGCCGCGGCGACAGGAGTAATCACTTAAAAAGCCAACAGAACCACAAGCGCAGGGATTGGCCAAAGCTGCCACCCGGCAGACGCACCAATTCAGTTTCCTCCTCTGCTCCCATCCCCCGCAGCCCCGGCGGCCCGCGGGCTCACCGGAGACGGAGGGAGGGGTCGCAGCCTGTCTAGACGACAGATATCCCCGAGCCCGCGGGGACTGGCGCCCACACGCACTCTCACCGGGCCGCTCCCACAGACACAATCCGACACCACGACAGGGAGGGGCGGCGTGGAGGAACACTCGGAGACCCTGCGGCCGGCAGCCCGGAGTGCTGCAGGCAGCGGCCCCGACCAGCCTACCTCGACGGAGTGCGGTCACAACAGCTGCAAGTTCGCCGGTACCAGACCAACTGCTCGCTGCAGCAAATGCGAGCTTCAAAACAAAAGGGAGCGGAATCGGGCTCGCTCGCTTCCTCCCCCCGGGTCGGAACCCGGCACATGACAGCAGCTACATAGTGCGCGGCTCCAACGCGAGTCAGGCTCCAGCCCTACGTCCCCCACGAGTCCCCCTCCGCGCGGGAGCTCCAGGGCCTCGGCTCCCCACCGGGCGGGGGAACGGGGCAGGGAGTGGGACAAACCCAGGGAGGGCGCGAGGTCGTGAAGAGCAGTCTCCTACAAACGGGACGAGGGACGCTGGATGGGTGCGGACACCCGGCTAGCTGAGGCGCAGGGAGGGGGAGGGGGGCTAATTGTTTGGGGCGGTTTTCCCGGATTTATCTACAAGCAAGCGCGCGTCACGCAGCGCTCCTCCTCGGTCCCCGAATCGATCCGCAATCGGAGACCACTCAAAGAGGAGGGCAGACAAGGGATGCTCACCTCGGGGCTCCTCTGGCTGTCGCGCCAAGCTCGCGTCGGGGGTGGGGGAAGGGGGCAGGGAACGGGAAGGGAGGGACGCGGATCCGGAGAGTCGACTCCCGCCTCGAGTTCCGCGCGTCCCAGCTACGGAGCACACCAGGAACCCGGGTGCAAGGACCCAGCCTAGAGGGGAGGGAGGGAGGGAAGGGACAGAGGGAGGGAGGGGCGGGCAGGGGGGGAGGGAGTAGAGGAAAGAAAAAAAAAAAACGATCCCCGTTCTGACACTGGGAAAGAGACAGTAGGAGAGTGACGTGCAGGCCCCGCCTCCCCCTCCGGCCACGTGCAGACTTGAAAGGAAAGAGGGCTGTGGCAGGCCTGCTGGGTAATGTAGTTCGCCTTTCTTTCCCGGGATGGCGGGCCCTGGAGAGCGAGTGCCGCCGGGACGCCGGGCATTAACCTGCGTTTCCCAGACAGCTCAGTCTAGCCACGATAAAGCCTGACACCCAACGATTCCCTGGCTCTGGCGCGGCCTGGATGGGGACCTCTGTCGTGGGGAAGACTGAGGACAGAGGCACGATCCAGGCTTGGTTTTGGAATGTGGAAGGCTGTAAAGATGAAGACTTCCACGCGTAAAGTGCAGTCTGTCCTCATGGCAGATAAAAGGGAGCTTTGAGTATACACTGGGGGTGCGGGGGGGGGCGTTATTAATGCTGCATTAAGTGCCTTCGTCGGTTATTGAGATGCATATGTTATAATTAACATTTGAGCATTGCTGTGGCAGGGGCGGGATGTTGTAATTAGATATGCACTTTGCAACCAATTAATTTTCCATTGGCCATGCTAAAGGCTGGGACATAGTAGCTGGGAGAATTAGATGTTGTGGATAATTCAGTCATCACTTAACCAAATTACCACTGTTCCAGTTAAAACTGAACTTGGCACAGAGCAGCCTCTAGGAAAAATTTAAGATGCTTGCACCCCACCAAGCAAGAAAGTCGGACCCATCGAATTGTTGTAGAAATCCATGTATTGGTGAATTCTTACAAAATTTGCCAAGCCCTTCTACAGACTAGGCACATCTGGGAATGCCAAGACAGGAAGACCCTCAGTCTGGGCTCACAAGGATCTCAGTCTAGTCAAAAGCCCACAGTCCATGAAAGTACAGGGAATAAGTCAACACTTAACCTAAGGATAAGCATGGAACCCCCAGAAGTAGCCAACAAGGATGGAGTAGGAGAGGGTCAGGGGAAGGGTATTTATGCAAAGAATTACTATGACGACTTCTTCCCTAAGATTTTTAACATGGGCAAAGGAATGGACATGCATCTGACTAAAACTACAGGGTACAAAAGCTCCAGATGCTAGAGAAGAGAGCTGATTCTGATGGTCCCAGCAATTTGGCATTACAGAAGGGGTAAGTGGAGCTGGGCCATATAGAAAGGGAGGAGTGAGTCCAGTGGGCAAAAGGAGCCTGGGACAGCTTCCCAGAAGAGGTGAGCTTGGCATGGGCCTGGAAGGATGGATGGCATTTTGTTTTATGTGGAGAACATGTGTTCTTGTGCTATGGAAGGAGTCAAGTCATGGATGGAAAGGAGAGCAGCATCCACATCCACATCCTGTAGAGAACTCATTTAATTTTTTTGTGCCAAAAGGCATTGTGGGTGACACACACATTCCACTCCATGCCCTGCTGGAGAAGGGCAGCAGGCCCAGAGATTCTAGCGCTCATCCACAGCCAAATATTTCCAAGAGGCAGAGGGGGTACTGGAAGCCAGGTGTCTAGATGCCAGGCCTGGTCCTGCTTCCCCACCAATGGAACATAGTTCAGCACACCTGACTTTCCCACTACTTTGTTCCTCTTAGCATTTTTGCCTCATTGGCTTAGCAGGGGGTTATTTTTATGCTTTAAAATCTGGACGATTTCCTGGGCTTACAAAATATTAACTAATAGTGCTGGATTCTATCCTTTCAGCAAATCCTCATTTCTTTACCTTGTCAGTGCTGGTTTTGCACATTGTGTGACAGACATGCCATCTGTAAATGAAACAAAAAGGAAATTGTCTGAAACTTGTCTTTTCTCTAAATTTAAATTACACCCCCAGAGGTGAGGGAGGGAAAGCTGAGCAAGGTGCAGAAGGTAAAACACCCGTGGAGAGCAAGGTCCTCTGAGAGGGATGTGGGCCTGGGGTAAGCTAGGCAGTGGGGACAACATGCTCTGGAGTCAGCATGACCCTGGGTTTGAATCCTCACCATGGTCTTCCAGGCTCTGCCACCTTAGGCAACTCCAAGTGAGGTGACCTTGGGCAGTTTATTCAACAAACTTCTTGGCCTTGTGAGAACCAATGGAATAATATACTTAAGTGGGGTCTGTAACAGGGAAAGTACTTAATGATGGGTGAGTCTCTTTCCTGTGTTAAGGTCTTTCTAGCCTGTAAGAATGATCCCTGACTTTCTTTCTGTAGCCTCAGACCAGCAGAGCTGGTGTTGCAGGGAGGAATCCAAGAAGGGAGGGCTCATTCTAGTGTGTCATCTTAGCTTAGTCTTCAAAGATTCTTGGCTCCTACCTCCCCCACCTCCACCCTCTTCAGCTGACTGTGATTTATGTTCTCCTCCTCCCCACCCTGCTGCCCAAAGACCCCCTTCCAAGGCCACCTTCTCTGGGTGGTGCCCCCAAACACCACACTGCTGCATATCAGACTTACTTTCTGCCTTTCTGTGTCCTCAGAGCCTGGCTCTCTGCTTTACCTCCAAACTAAGAAACCTTCACTAAACTTCCTAAGATCCTCCATGCATTCTCTCCTCCAACCATGCCATTTTTGTTTTCTTATTGAGAGCTCTCAAGGGTGGCCTCTGATGATAAGCATTTCGGGTGTAATGGAGACTTGGGAGATGGCTCTGTGCATCCCTCAGACTGAAATTCCCTGGGATGGGGACGGCAAGCAGGGGGCTGGGCTTACATGGCCCTTATCTGAAGCTCTTCCTCCCTGTATTGCCACTGACTTTGTACCCAGCCTCCAAGTTAAAGTCAGAAAAGCTGCTGAGTTAATGAACTGGGAGCTCCTGGGGAAACAACACTAGCACTGGGTAACTATGTTAGTTGCGGAGTGGCCAAATGGCCTAGAAATGAAAACCAGAGTGGTTCTTGCTGTTTTAAGTAGCTGCTTCTAATCCATACTTGCCTAAGACACTAGCAAAAAGAAATATTCCTTCTTTCTCCCTACTCTTTCTCTCTGTTCCCTCCATAGCTTTTCAGGGAAAAGTTATCCCCCCTTGAGTCCTCATATTTAAGTATGTGTGTGTTTAGTTAGTTTAAATTTTTGGTGCTGGAGATTAAACTAGGGCTTCACACATGCTAAGCCCATAATCTACCACTGAACTGCACCCCACACTACTCACATTGATTGAAGGCCTGGTGGGGGACCCCACAAGAGTGCTAAGGGAGAGACACTACCTACTTCCAACGCTGTGACCAGGCTGACATCTAGGCCACCGTAAGAAGTAAAGTGGGCCACTGCATGAAGGTGACTTAAAGTGAACTCAGGGTTCCCAGCAGGCTGCAGTGGTCAGAGAAGACTTCTGGGAGGAAAGGGAGGGACTAAAGCCACTTGTGACTTTCTAATGGAAGGAATTCAGCAGTGGCCCACGTTCCTGTTATGTAGCATTGGCCTGGGAACACTGCAGAAAAATGGCTTTGGTGGGAGCTAGAGTGGTTTCATTGTGTAGTTTGTGGCCACTGACCCCGCAAAAGAAAGGAAGTTGCCAGGCTGGCATCTGTGCTGTTACTGTGGTGTTGGCCTAGAGTGATAATGGCTTGATAGAACCAGATTGAATTTCACCCATGCCTCCTCTCAGCTTCCACTGCACAACCCAAAGACCATCACTTGAACAGCAGATGCAAGGTGATCCCCTAAGGTGGCTGGCCATCAGTTGTAGAGGAAAGGACATGGGCAGAGGACAATGAGCTTGAGAAAAACAAATGTGGAATAAGAAATAAACCAAGAAATATTTATTGGAAGCATGCTACACACAGCAAGGTGTCCACCTGACATCTCCTGCCATGAGACATTTTCTCCCCCTGGGCCTCAGTTTCCATATCTGTAAAACTGCTAAGATTACCTCTAAACATGAGGTTTTCCCTTCAAGAACTTTACAATCTCTGTGGGGAAAAAAAAACCAACCTGTGAAATTAAGCACAAAGACAAATTTTAAGTAGTATAATTCTGGCAGAGAAGAAAGAGTTTGGAATAGTCATTAAACAAAGCCCTGAAGCTCCCAAGGGAACAAAAAGCAAGCAGACCTTGTCTTGGAAGGTTCAAGGAGAGTAAGTGAAGCCCATGAATCATAGAACATTCCTCAAGATGCTCAGAATTAAAGGTCAGACCTCATGGGTCACTGGCATGAGTGCCTAATCCACAGCCTTGTCCCTGATAAGGGCCTGGAATAGATACACCCACATCTCTACAAGTGACCAGTGTCCTTGTTTACCAGGCTCTAGAAAACACACACAATCACACACACAAAATCACTCTGATCCTGGGAGGGGAAGCCAGGTCTAATAGGACCAGAGGCCCATTGGTTAGGCTAGATGAGCTGAGCCAATCAGATTCTCTCTTGCAAGAATCTGAAAGAAGAAACTTAGAAACTTTTGCTCATTGGTGATGGCTCCTTAAGTCAAGGCTTTTGGCCAAGGTGGGCCAGGTGCAAGATAAGGAAGCAGAAGGTAATTATTCTTCCTTGCTGGTCTC